GCAGGCCCAGCCCCGGCCCGCCTGCTCCGGCCTCTGGCTCTCGTTTATTTCTCTAAAGAAAAAAAAAAGAAAACCGCTTTATTTTAGAAGTTTGTAAAGCGCCCTCGTCTGAGTGATCCCACCTGGGTTTGGGGTTCGCAGACCTTCCTCCCCGTTGAATGGGCAACGGAGACGGGAACTGGCTCGTTGGACCAACGTTTTGTGAGCAGGTGCGTGCGCGGCACGGAGCGAGCGGGGACGAGAGAGGCAGGTGCACGGCCACGTGGGGGTGCGGAGTACAGAAAGGAGGGCCCGTCGCTTCCTCCGGTCTCCGTGGCATTAGATGGGGGCTGATTTCGCGCCCAGGCCAGCGATTTGAGTCTGTGCTCCTGCGGGTGGGAGTTGGGGAGGTCGGGTCGCCGCGTGGCCTGCAGTCTTGGAGCCGCGCTGGGTTGGCGGTACCCGAGGGCACACCAGACTTGCAGGAAAAGCAAACCCCGGAGGAAGCTGAGGCATGGCTGCTCGAGAGCCAGCCTGCCATGTGCAATGTTCCTCTGATAGTTCCCGGGCACTGTTGCCACGGCGATAGTGACTGTCCGTGTCACTATCTATCCACCAACAGTGAGAGAAGCTTTGCAGTCGAGATATTGTTTAACAGATGGAGTGGTTTCTGTTGGACACTAAGTACTGCTACAAAGGACTGGTTTTTAAAAAGTTGTGTCTGGGGGTGACCTGTTTATGCTTTGGAGGTGCCCGAATTCAGAATGTAAGTACAGGTGCTGTCAGCAAGGGAACCTTCCAACTCATCCTTCAGTGTGAAACTTGAGCCTGATAAAGTGAAAATAAACTCAAGACTATGTCGGGGGGCTCCCTTCTCCGCATCCAGCACGGGGCGGGGGGGAGAAAGAGAGAGAACCGGTTCTTTTAAGTAGGAGGCGCTTTTGGGATTAGAGAAATGAAAAGACAGACACAGAAATAGAGGGAGAAGCTGGATCTGGGTGACTTCTGTTCTCTTCTGGTGGAGAGACCCAGCACCGAAGCAGCGTGTTTATTTTATAGCCCAAATTCCCCAAAATATCAGGAGGTTTCACCAAAACTCAAGGGAGGTATTCCTGGTGCTTGACTGGATTTACATAATAAAAATCCATTCCCGGGCACCTGGGCTTTGAAGAGTTGAGCTGAAGGCATTCTCACCTTTTGGTTAGAAATGCCCCCAAGGTAAGGCTGAGCCCACGCCTTGGGTTCAGTCAGCATGACTTAAAGGAGAGCATTGGCGCCTTCCCTGGCAGGGGGCCTCCCACACAAGACGTTACTCAGAAGTGCTCCTCAGTGACCCATCAGGGGGATTGATGTTTGGTAGTTTTCCAATGTGGGACCCAAAGTTGATCAGCTTCTTAAAGGATCCCCCCCACCCCTCCTTTGATGATTCCAGGTAAATCAGAGGCACTGGCACCAGGAACGGAAATACACAGGAAACGGCCGATGCAGAAGCAGAACCGAAGTCCAGCATGTGGTGAATTTAACAGTAGAGAATATATTATTTCCCAAACCACCTAACTTTTACTCATGCTTGTATTATAGTAAGATGTGTAGGGTTTTTTTAAAATAAATATTGGCGATTTGCTCCTGAAAATGTAAATTGTTTATTGCCTGCCCTAAACCATGTACTCCGGCTTTTGTGTACTGCTATTCCTTACCTGGAGTGTAATACTGGCTTCGAAAGGGTGATTGTCTTTTCCGCTGCCAGGTGTTAACACATTGCGTTCCGCTCACAAGTTTTCTCGTGTTTCGCGCGCCATCTGTTAAGGACCGCTCACGAGTGTTCTCGTTTTTCACGCGCCATCTGTTATGGACCTTAGATGTCAACACATTGTCTTGTCCACTGTGGGGCGCGGCTGCAGTGTTTTGGCCAGGTTTAAGCCTCGGATTAATGAAAGGACAGGGTCCTCTCACTGCCACGGGCAAGTCCCAGCTGGAGGGCAGGGCCCTCCCAGCACAATCATAGCCAACGGCTGTGGTTGTAAGCTTGAACCTATGGTCCGAACACGTAGCCCCACGTGCCTTGTGATAGAGTTTAGGTGCATGTAGTTGAGTAAGGTTGAAACTCACGAGAATGCTATAAACAACGTGATCATGCCCCTACTTTGCCTCGTGGCATCTGCTATAAAATAAAGACAC